GACCCCACAGTTGTGCCAGCACAAACTGTTCAACACTTGCTTCTCCAAACCTGAAAATTTCCATGTGGCTTCTCCCTGCAGCCCCAATTTACTCCTCTGCTACATCCAGGGATGCTCTGCAGCAGGGAAGTACACTAACCAAACACCTCCAAATCATGTGATACTCATGCTTGAGTCCGAAGGGATTAAGAGATTCCAGCCCAAAGTAAAAGAAAACAAGCAAGCTATTGTATTCTGCATTAGAACACAACCATGCCTTGACCATAATCCATTAGCCAAACCTACAAGGAAAGCTGAGCAGACCTCAAAATATTTACCTTTCTTCCATCTTCCTCCTTTTTCCTCAGAGAGTTCAGATTTTCCCAAAGTGCAAAAAAGGTGCATTCTTTTGGAAGTTACTCAAAGAAAGGTTCACTGAACATAGACAAAGATGATAATTTAATCATAATGGGTACCCAACCAGAATATAATGCCCTGTTCACAGCAAATTCCTGCTACCAGCAGTGAGAGAAAATTAAGAATCTGAATTCTCAAATGTACTCATGACTAGTATGTTCACCAATCAGCACACAATTAAGCATTCCTGTTCTCTAATTGTAAAGATGAACACTTGTTTGATAAGGATTAGTCATTAATTTGATGAAAAGCTTACCCACTCTTAAAAAAACCCAGGCACAATGTTTAGATGGAAAGAAAAGGTCTGCAGGCAGAGGCAGTAAACTTGTGAGTTTACATTAAGTACACTTCACTAGCTTTCAGCTTCCATTTATGAAGGGAAAATAATCAAAATAACCTAGAATTGCAATCTGCTTAGACATCTTAGTCAGGTTTGGTGGATCAAAAGTTCAATAATGCCTACATTACACTAACTATTTGTTCTCAGAAGTGGAAACAAAAAGGAAATTAAGAAAATTCAAATACAATACAATCAAAGCTACGAGGTGAAAACAACTCGAGTGTTTCTCCTCTGGTCAGACCACAGCAAACAGGTAGCACAGTGAAGACAGACATGTCCTCACATCACTTCTCAAGCAAAGTTGCTCTGTGATACAGCAGGTGAGTTTTCTTCTCACTACCTCTCGTTTTGGCTCTTCTGTTCTTTGCCAGCAGACAGACAGGTATTTGAAAAGCCTGAACTGAGAGAGCCCCAGACCAGGAAAAGTCAGCCTTGGTAACAGCAGTTTTAGAGAAGACACCAAAGGCTGGAGGGGAGAAAACTTGAGAACACTTTGCAGCTGCAGCAAATGCAGCACTAGGTCTGAAAGGGTCTCAAAGCAAACAGCAACCACTGCAACCAGCACAACCTCCCAGCCTCTCATTTATCTCTGGTTTAAGTTTCAATGACAGCAATTACACTCTGGCAGATAGCAGGGAATAACCAGAGCTTTCCCAGGTACACATTTAGGCCAATTACGGCTACAAGAGATGGAATCACAGCCCCAGCTCCCTCCCTGTCCTCATCTGCTTGCAGGGAGAACAGGCAGAGTCAGGCTCTTGGGGCCCTCCTAACTACCAGGCAGGATATTCCATGGAAATGCTCTCCATCAATTCCAAACCTAGAAGTTCCAAGGAAACTTTCCACCAATTCCAGACCCAGAGGCAGCCACTTCAATGAGCAGCTCTGGACTTTAACTCATTTTGAAAGGCCACAGTGATAGCATAAGAGTGACAGGACAGAGTTTAACACCAGGTCAGCTGTTAGACTGGATCATTCTGACATCTCCTGTACAAAACTGAGCTTTCACTTCAGAAGTACTGGAAGTTGCCTCACCCATTAACACCTACTGTAAGATGCTGAAGGTATTAAGACTCCATAGCCAGAAGCAGTTTCACTAACACAGTAGTTCAAATAAATGGTTCTCAACCTCTGTGTGCTCAGTGTTTTTGTCACTTCTTTACCTCAGCCTTCAGTTCCACTCAACACTTCAATGCTTTCAACTACAACTTCCAGCAGCTCAATAACCAAAATCAATATTTTAGTAGTCTACCCTTGACCTACACTGTGCTAAACTCCCCATGACAGAAAGACTGGAGGGAAGATGTGGTTTTCCAGCTGTTTTCTGAAATCCTGCCACCAGCTATACGGAAACCCCCAAAAATAAGGGGGTTTGAGGAGTCAAGGAGAAGCCTCAGAGGAACTGAGGAGTCACACTCCCAGGGCCTGGGAGCGGAATGATGCACAGGAGCCCTACGTGAAAGGCTGCTCTCAGGATGAGCTGGGAGAGGCCCTGCAGCCAGTCCTGCCTTTGCTCCGCTCTCCAAGGGCACTCAGGAGCCAACCAAGTGCATCTTCTCTTCCCAGACTCCCTGACAACCCACACGGACAGGATTTCTGGCCTCTCCCCTCTCAGGTGCCGGGGAGCAGTTTCCCCCAGGCACTTCCACAAGTGGAGAAAGCAGCACTGGAGAAAACAAGTCTCATTCTGTCACGAGTCTGCCCTTTCCTGGTTGATAGAAGAGTCAAAACCTTCTTTTAAAGGCACAGGGAAAGAGCAACTATTTTTATTTCTTCCTGAAGTCCTCCCAGGTAACACCACAGAATTAATGCTTTGATTATAGCCCTAGTTTCCAGTCCCAAAGTTGGAGAAGCAAATGAGGCCCACAAAAGGGCAACACAAAACTGTTCTAACAGTGTTTCTATAAATAATGTCTATACCAGTGCACAAATCTCTGGTATTGGAAAGAAAAACTACAAAGACTTAATTATGGCAATGCAGCAGCCTTCCTCCACAAATTCAACCTGAAGTGCATTACTTCCCACCCATATTGCCTATATGTTCTAGAAACTAAACCTTCTGAGTACCAGAACAATCCAAAACACTTAGAGACTATTAGACTTGTATATACAAAAGACTTCCTCATACAGGCACCCCAGAGATCTATTTCATGCTACTTTGCTTTCAGAAATATCACTTAAAAGAAAGATTCAAACCATTTTCACTGGTTTTCCCTGATGAAAATCTTTCTTAAAACTGGGTAAGAACAATAAATGAGAGGGTTTGGTAGAATTCTTAGCCATGGGGATAATGTAAGGCATGAGAGAAGCACATACAGGTAGTAAGTTACTTTACCAACATTGTTTCCTTGAAAAGCAGGAAGCTGAGATTATAGTGAAAAAAGTCCTTTTCAATTCTTTCTCCAGTAAAGGCTAAGCCTGATAGGTTAGACCTGGCACATCTGCTAAAGACAGTCCCAGTAAAGAACAACTTCTGAAATTAAACCAAGAAGATGTCACTCTGCAGACAATGCAAGAATGACTGGACTAAAATCAACTGGAGGGAGCACAGAACACACAGCTCAGACCCACATACACAACAGCGAGGAAGAAGACACCTAAATATCACAGTAACAGAACACAAGTCCTTCCTACACAGATATTCACTGCCTTCTAGGCCACCTTCTGCAAGCTCCAAGCCTCCCTTGCTGTCCAGCCTGGAAGTTCAAACGTTGGGATATTCCCTGTTACAGCTGCCCCCATAGAGAACACACCCCAGTCAGGGTGCTGGGCTGTTCTGGCTGCCTCTCCTAAAGCCCAGCTCTTCCCAAGGAGCCAGGGACTAACACCAAGTTTCAGATTTCATTCTCGCTTCGAGCTGATTCCATAGGTGACAGGACAATGTGCCAAGCTGAGCTCGGTCCAGCACGAGTTCCAACGCTCCACCACACACACAACAGCTCAAACCTGAGGCTGAGCACTCCTGTTTGCACGCTGCAGAACAGCCTGATGGACAACCGATGCCGCACAAGTCGGTGAAAGCATCAGCCCATCAGCATCTCAGCTGGAAGCTGCGCAGAGCAAACCCAACTCCACTTCCATCGTGGTCACTCAGAGTCCATCACAATGAAGGCTGGAAGCAGCGAGATGTGCTGAGCAAGGCAAAGGACAACTCGCTTTACTTGTCACCTACAGTGCTTCTCCAAGCCTTGTTTTCTTTGATGTTCTGTCCTCTTTCAACACCAGCCTGCAAAGTTACATTTTAAAGTATTTACAATCCAGTATTTTTTGTTAAATTTCTCTAAAGAAGAAGGTTAATGCTGCTTAAAATCCATTAGCATGTGTTATTGAGGACACATTTCATTACTGGCATGACTGGTGATGTACAACAGCCTGCCCCCAAGCCACTGCTGCTTTCCAGCTTTTCACTGCATTCCTAGTCAAGAGGAAAAATAAAATCGAGTTCCACTGGAGCTTCTTCAAAGTAATCACTTTTCAGAAGTGGCAATACTTCAATACAGCAGCTTGTACAATTCAGCTGCAGTATTGCTGAACAAGGGCCATCCAGCTTCAAGTTTTTTGAAATCCAACTCTCCCAAGGAAGGGCAAGAGCTCCTTATTCAGGCAGTTCTTTCAGAGTCTGGGGGTTTCTCCTTCCCTTCTCAGAGTTCCACCACCTCCATGACAGTTATTACAATGTCATTAGCTGCCCCACACACAGATTCCAGAAAAACTTCCATATGGTTCTTTCCATGGTTACTTTATTACAATTTTCAGCACTGACACCCCCAAGGGGTTAATAAGGGCCCATAAGGTCTGTTGTCCCACCCATGAGGAGGAACAAAACCTCTGAAATACCCAGTTGCCCCCAGTAAGCCCCAGAGAGCACATTTCCAGTGCCCAGTTTAACCTGCAGCCACATTCAGGTGTCAAACCAACTGCTGCTTTCCCAGCTTCACATTACGATTCCAAGCTTCAGAAGACGAATCAAAGCTAGAAATCAGCAATTGTGTTGTAAGTGAAGCCTTTGCAAACACTGCTTTTTGCTGGACATCAGTGACTCCGGAAGCAGCTTCCCCGTGCCAATGAACATTCTAGAAAGCTGCCTGTTTGCCCTCCCCCCCAGCTCCCTCTGCACGGCTCTGCAGGTCCAAGCCTCACTTCCAGGCGCACACTGGCACTCGATGGAGGAGAGCAGAGCACCCTTGGCTCACAGCAGCACAACCTGACACCTCAGAACAGACTAAAGGTGAGAGATACTACTGCTTGCAACAAGACCACGCACATTTCTTCCCTGCTGCTACTCCCTAGAATCACTGCAGCCAGCTGGGGTTCACCTCCCTCACCCCCCCACCAGAAAGCACTCATCAGGTGAGGGGAAGAACAGGTACTCGTGCTCCAGTTCACCATTAGACTGTATGGCATCGAGTTCTTTCTGTCAGAGCTTCTCAGCTGTTCCCCTCAAAGCAAGGGCAGAGTTCTGGCTGTTCTGCTGAGAAACACACTCCGAGTAAGGACAGTTCACGCCAAAGGAGGCCGTGGTTTGTGACCTCTGCCCATCCCACAAGCAGCTGACACGTATGCAAGTCGATGCACCAGTCTGGACATAGCAACCCTGCACCGTCCAAGGGAGAAGCCGTAAAGCACCAGGAGCTCAGCATTTCAAATTCCTGAATTACCACCAGCTCCACTTTGAGGTCTTCCATGCAAGCCACTCGGTCAGCCTGAAATCTGGAAGCATTATGTAGAAAGAAATAGCTGTCTTTTAACAATCCAGTAATTCACAGGAATCACAGCAGGAATTGAGTGCTGGGCACTTTCCTGAAGTTTTCCTGACAGCACTGGGAAGTTACAGCACCGGTATCGAGAAGGGGGGGTGGAATCACAAGTCACGAAGCTCATTTCTCAGAGTTTCAAACCCGTACGGGATGTAACAGGCAGCTCTTTACACCACCAGCTACCCAGGCTAGAGACAAATGCACAGCAGTTGCACGTTCTGGCTCAGACATTTCAGTACCTCAGAGGTTATTCTGAAGGAAATGTGACATTACTTTGACTCAGCCGGTGAAAGCTACTATGAAACAAGTGCATGTCGAAGTATCTGGACGTTTCATTCCAGTTCACAGCATTTGATAAGCTCTAATGCACTACTTGGAGTCACGTGCTCTGGAAGGCACCGCTGATACCAAGTACAAGAGTCCTATCTCCTTATATCCAGTTACACTTCCCAGTAGGAAGCCACCAGGGCAGGAACAGCCGTCACAGCCTTTTGATCTCTGCAGGTGAAGAGATCTTGAACTCTGTGCTGGATGCTAACCCAGCTGCTCCGAGTCACTCCGTGGAGACAATTCCTCTTCCTGGCTACAGCAGACTCGCCTGCTACTCCAGCAGCCCAAGGATCCCCTTCTCCTCAAGTTACTCCTTTTTTCCAGGTTAATTGCCAGCAAAGCACTGCACAGCCCTGTTCCTCCTACTCCTGAAAGCTGACAACATACTTCTCTCCACCATCCTGGGCTGCACGTAGGTGGATTGAGATCTGAGATAAAATATTGTATCCTCTATTTCAGAAGCCTGGGCATGCTCCATTTCTGTCTCCTCCAGCTGCAGATGGCTGTTTTTATGTAAAAAATAAATAAAATACAATGAGAGCTTATCAAGCTGACCTACTCCACCTCCGTGGTATCATTAGTGGGTTGCCTGGCAGGTTACTTAAGCAGGTTAACAGTGATGTTTTAATAATTGCTAGTGCAGTTAATGTAATGAATATTAACAGCATCCTAGATAGGCACCTACAGCACTACCAGCAAGAGAACTCAGTTTGGCCCTCTATTTATCACTCCTGTAAAGTGAAGTAGGACAAGAGCACCTATTAGTGCAATCACTCGAAAACCAACATGGTTTGGTCAACACCGCTGTTTGTGGCCCTTTGTCCCCTCGCCAAGCTCCAAAGCAGACACAGAAACACTTGTCACCGAAGCATTTTAGACCCTCGTGCCCCGCCTTCACTTATCTGCACAAAGTTTCAACACTTACAGCTCAGTGTTTCCTGTGCAAGGAAAGAAAGCACCACTTCTATCTCCCAAACCACAGCGATCAGTAACAGCTGAAGCAAAGCAGGTATCAGATGTCAGCCTCCTCCCCCCCGAGTTCACAAGCTTCATAAAAACTCCTTCACCTCCACCAAAAAAGTTCATTTTCGAATACCACGTGCTTCAGTTACAGACAAAAGGCAGCTCTTTATCTACGGCTCAGAGCATGACAGGTACTACAAGAAACCTGTCACAGCTCCCTCCGTCACGCTCTGTCCCTTCCCAGTGGACTCACCAAGGAATCTAAACATGCCTTTATGTTCACCAGAAAGCCAAGGTGCACCTCCACACTCAGCACTACCTGACGTGATTCACCAGAGAAGCTCTTTTCTTCTTAAAGAAAGCCTTATTGACACGGCTACATCACACAACCAAACACACAGGAAAGAACCTATAACACTTGAAGCCTGCAAGAGTTACAAGCTCACACCCAACCTTCCCCCAGCGAGGGAAGTGTGCACGGAAAGGAAAGAAATCAATTTCCTGTGCAGAGATGTGAAGAAACACCAGGTCTGATAAAAAAAAAAAAACAAAAACATTCTCTATACGAACCAACAAGAGCGGGAAAAACTTCAATGCGCACACCTAAGCTCCACGTTGGGGGGCAAAGCACTTACCAAGGAAGGGCAACATCTGCTCAGATCCCAGTGAAAGAACAGGACTGTTAAGAGGAACAGGGGGAAGAGACGCAATTACAGCCGCACCACCATGCCGGTAAAAAAGCCTTAACGAGCCCCACGTCCAAAAGGCAGGGGAATGCGGCCCCGCGCACAAGGGCAGGTGAGCGGAGCTGGCACACGGCGGCCCGCGGAGCCGGGCAGGGGCCGGCGGCTGCCAACGGCACGGGGCGATCCCGGCGGGCTCGCGGGGACCGGGCACCCCCGGGGGGACGCACCACCCCCGGGCACCCCCAAGGGGACCGGGCACCCCCGGCACCCCCGCGGGCCGGGCACGGGGGCGGCGGCGCCGCGCGAGGCCCAACGGGCAGCGGGAGCTGCCCGGCCCCGCCGCCCGAGCCCCGCCGCGAACGGCCCGGCCCGGCTGGCCACAGGAGGCCGCCGAGCCGCCTCCGCCGCTGCCCCCGGCCGGCCGAGCGGAGCGGGGCTGAGGGCGCCGTGGCGGCCCTGCACCCGCGGCCGAGGGGGCGTGTGCGGCCCTCAGTGACAGCGCGGCCGCGCTCCGCCAGGCCCCGCGCCGGGCCGGCCCTCCACGCCGCGGGACACCGGGCACGCCGGCGGGTTCTTACCGCGGGGCAGGGCATGGCGCGGAGCCCCCGCCCGTCCGGGGCGCGGCGTCCTGCCAGGGCCGGGGTCGCTGCGGGCTCGGGGCCGCCGCCGCCGCCGCCTCACGGGCACAACAACATGGCGGCCGCGCGGCCTCCTCCCTCCTCAGCCCGCCCCCCGCGGGGAGGGGCCCGCGCGCCGCGCCCGCCCTCCATGAGGGAGCCGGGGGGGAACGGCCCCGCTGGGGGAGCGGGAACCGGGCAATTGTGGAATCCCTGAATTGTGGAATCCCAGAATTATAGAATCACAGAATTATAAAACTACAGAATCGCAAAATTGAAAAATTACAGAATCACAGAACTACAGAATCGTGGAACCACAGAATTACGGAATCATAGGATCAGGAAATTACAGAATCAGCGAGGTTGAAAGAAACCCTGAAGATCATCCAGTCAAGCCGTCACCCCAGCACGGCCAACGTAAACCCTAAACCACTAAACCACATCACCCAGCGCCAGATCCAAACACCTCTCAAACAATTCCATGGATCGTGACTCCAACGCCTCCCTGGCGGCCCATTCCAGTGTCTGAGCACCCAAACAGTGAAAACATTTTTCTAATATGTAATGTCACAGCTCGGCTCAGCGCTCCCCGTACCCTCAGGAGGTGCCTGCCATCCCTCAGCCCCTGGTGAAAGGCAGGGCCGCAGGGATGATTAAGGGACTGGAGCATGTCCCTGATGAGGAGAGACTGTGGGAGCTGAGCCTGGTTAGTCCAGAGAACACTGAGAGGAGATTTCATCAATGCATATAAATATCTCCAAGGGGCATCCAGAGGATGGTGCCAGACTCTTTTCAGTGGTGCCAAGTGACAGGATGAGGAGCAATGGCCATAAACTAAAACACTACAAGTTCCACCTCGACATGGGAAGAACTTTCCGTGGAAGGTGGCAGAGCTGCCCAGGGAGGTCGTGGAGTCTCCTTCTCTGGAGACATTCCAAACCCACCCAGACACATTCCTGTGCCACCTGCACCAGGTCACGTTGTTGTCTCAGGAAAAGGTTTGGTACCCAGCCTGTGAGACAGGTAATAGTGTAGGTGGGTGCTGAAGGGGGCTGAGGAGCTCTGAGGTATACCCACACCCTGCAGCACCCACTGCCATCCCTCCTCCTTAGGATCCTCTAAAACCCCTGGAGAAACACCCTATCTGATGCACAAGGTCTTCAGGCTGATGTTTTCCTGCATTGCTTTGGTGCCACCCAGCTCAGCTGTAGGACACGTGTGGCCCCACACCACCGGGACACGCGCTGTCCGAGCCACCCTCCACAGCCCACAGCTCCTAAAGCATGAGGTAATGGGGAACAGGGAGCCAGCACAAGGCAGGACTGCCAAAAAACACATGGAAACTGAGACACAAGTGATAAAGCAAAAGGCCTGTGATCATTAAGCTACAGAAAACAAGAAAGCCGGAGAGGAGAGCGGCACCACTGTCGGAGGTGGCAGGAGTGTCGCCAGTTCCAAAACGAAACCTTTACTAAGCCTTGTGCAATGAAGCTCCTTTCCAGCAGCAAGATTTATATCTAGGTTTTGTTGCAACTGTGATGGATCATTAATGTTTTATTTTTATACATATCTTTAATTTACAATACCGTATGTAGGTCAGGTTGTACTTCTGCGACAGATTTCCACCTGCTCCTCGTGTTCGCCTTGATCTGAAATTAAATGCTTGCAAGTGGCTATAAAATGCACTCCTAAATTATCCACAGGACTCTCCCTCTGAGTCCAAGCCTAGTCATTGTAACAGATGGACTTCAGTCTGTCATTAGGTTGTGTCTAAGCTGGAAGGAGCATTAATGTTCAGAGAGAACAATGCAAAATACAGGATCCCGTGTCTTCACACTCAGATATGAGCCACTCAGTGAGTTGTGTTCTGGTTCTGCTCCCTTGGTCAGGCACAGCCAACGTTTGAAGGGAAGTTAATCAGACCTTCTGAAGAGATTTTTTTTTTCCTAAAACAAGCCATCATCTGAATGCCAATGTGATCTGAATGTCAATATGTACCTTCAGTGGAACTTTGGAAGAAATACCGGTAACTGAAGGGAAAAACAGGATTCCTGGCCTGTTTACACCCAAAAGCAACGAAAATGTGTTGAGCCAGTATAGCTGAATCTGAAAAGGATGTGTGTTGACAGCATGAGCAAGCAAAATATGAATTTTGAGAAGTCCCTGTTAAATGTTACCTCTCTGAGTGTGCCTGCAGGGAGACCAAATGTGACCTACTTCATAGAGCTGGATCCTGGACACCCGGGGCTGCTGCACAGCAGAACCTGCTGGGTTCCTCTGCTGGTTTTCAAGGAGGGGGATCCCCCTGCAGTGCCATCCCTGGGACAAGAAAAACTGGGCACTTCCAGCTGCTTATTTATATATTTCATCTTTACCAATGTGGTCACATGCATTGCATGGAGACATTCCATGTCTTGTGTCCTGGACCTCTCCACTCCTTGTGTTCCAGTCTATTTTTTCATTAATAACCCCATGTTAAATGACTTTTGTCCATATTTCCTGTGATGATCAGGACGAAGGATGACAGCTAATGAGGATTATTTTATGGAAATGGGAATTACTGGACCCAAAGGGAGAACAAGGCCTTTAAGAACCTGACAGCTCAGGGAATGAGGTGTTCCCAAACCCAGAGTCCTGATGGACCTGGAATGTATCCTCACTCACCCAGTACAGTTTTTAATTTGTCAGCTGGAGGGTGGTAATGAATTACAGAGGAGCTCCTGAAGCACTGGCTGGATTTAAGCAGGAGGAAGTAAAGCAATCCAGTCGTTTAGACACCTGTTAGTGTGACCTCAAGAACATTAAAAGCTTAAAAAATTAAATATAAAGGGAAAAGTAGTTGGGGCCAGACAAATAAGTGTAAAACTTTAAAGTAAAAATGTGACATAGCTTTACTAAAGATTGATTGCATTTAACTAAGATTATGCCTTTGATAATTGTTTTTTAGACAAAAGATATATTACAGATTTATTAATTGATTCAATAAATTAATAGAAAGCAGGTCCATAAAATGTAACTAGATGGAAAAGGTAAGGAAGTCGCCTCAAATCTACACCAGCTGTGGATGCACAGGGTGTGCAAAGGGAAGAGTGAGCAGAAAATGTCTGGGTTCCCTTGTTCTCCCTATCCAGCCTTGCTTCCCTCTGGAGCACTGGATCCCAGTGATCACAGCCTGGCCCAGCAAGGCACGTCTGGATGGGCTCCTGATCTTGCACAATCTTTTTCAGACAGGCCTTGGAACAAAAGGTAGGAGTGAGCTGATGGCATTTGCTGATGGCACAAAGCTGGGAGGCGCCAGCCGAGCAGCGGGAATAGCTGTATTGCTGGAAGAGTTGGATAACACGGAGAGCTGGCACACTGGAAATGGGATGAAATTTAATAGTGGAAAGTACAAGGTCATGCCCTTGGGAATTGCTAACAAGAATCTCTGCCGCAAGCTGGGAGCTCATCAGTTGGAAATGACAGAAGAAGAGAAAAATCTGGGTGTATTTGTTGATCTCCAGATGACTGTGAACTCCCAGTGTGAAGCAGATCTGACAAAAAGCGTGGATCAACTGAGATATTTCCAGGACAAGGGGAAATGTTAATGCCATTATAGGAAGCTCTGCTGCAACCTTCTCTGGAATTATGCATGCAGCTCTGGTCACTTTTTACCAAGGGAGACAAAATGTGACCGGAAAGTAATTACAGGGTAATCCTGGTTTTTCCCCCCCTATATAAGGATCTTGAAATAATTTGTTTAACCAGAAAACCTGACTGCTGAGAAGGGAAACGGGTGTTCTCCATGAAACTTCAGGGAGTAAACACAACAGTAAACACATCTCCCTTAAGAGCAGGGGTGTTCATACACGAGCAAACAAGTATCCGATGGCCAGGAGAAGTCTGGGCTGAAACATGAGAACACCGGAGCTTCCAGCAGTCCGAGGCTCTGGGTCATCCTTCCCAGAGCTGCTGTACCCTCATGCAGGTGCCACCAACAGCTGAGAACTGACCCTAAAGGCCCAACAAGTCCTTCCCAAACCTCTCTTGCTCTTTGAGGCACAGCCACTGAGTCACTAGTTGGCTGCTTGTGGAAAGAAAGGGAGTACCTGGTGTGGAAAGATGTTCCTCGGGCTGCAGTTGCAACCCAAATGTCCCTTGAGTTCGGTAAGGACACAT